TTTCAGGAGGTTTCATAAGCAAGAGCCAAAGATGAGTGCCAGTATGAGCATGAAGAGGGTTCCTAGATCAGAAAATTATGGTACATCTACACAATGGAATACTACGCTGCCATAAAAATGAAGGAATTCTAATCATTTGCAGCAACCTGGATGGAATTGGAGAACATTATGCTGAGTGAAATAAGCCAGTCAATGAAAGAAAAACACCACATGATCTCACTCATTTGTGGATAATAAAGAACATTATAAGCTGATGTACAAAAAGATAGATACAGAGGCAGTAAAGCATCAAACAGACTGTCAAATTACAGCGGGAAGGTGAGGGAGAGGTAGGAGAGATAAGAGATCAACTGAAGGACTTGCATGCACTCATATAAGCATAACCAATGGACGCAAAACACTGGGGGGTGAGGGCATGTATGGGAGTGGAGTGGGGGGACAATGGTAAGATATGTACCTTTATTAAGATATGTACCTTAATAAAAAAAAAGGGGGGGGTGGGGGAAGAGGGCTTCTGCTAGAGGTAAAAGCCAGGAGAGCCAGTTAAGATTCTGTAGCCAGGGGCCCCAAGATTCTGAAAACTGTTGTTGGACTTTTGAGGCTTTATCAATGAAATGTGTAGCTCCACCCCTTACTGTGCAGACAGTAAGGTGTGGAGATACACATTTGGGTGTAAAAACAGCATTCTTCCTCTAGGAATAGGCATAGCCGCCCCGTCAATCCCCACATTCTGGGCTGTGAGGGGGTCAAGTCCTCTCCAATTTTGGAGGGTAACTGCTGCCAGTCAGTCTGTTTGATCCTGCCAATTTCCTCTAAGAGTAGGTTGATGGGATGCGTTCTTGAGTCTCTCCAAAAAGGGCTGAAGGGTTCTCACCAGCCCCTTGTGTAATAGTGGCCAGCTCAGAGTAATTAACGGGTTTGGTTTGACTATACTGAAGGCCCACGATCATGCAAACTGGGCAATGTCTTATTTTCCACATCTCCGGTCAGTGTCCTGATTAGGGCCCTTTGGGGGAACTGCCTCTTCTCCTGTTAAACAATGATTTCTATGCTCCTCTGGATCAGGGTACCTGGGGGCCAAAGTAAGGTAAACCTGATCTCCAAATTCCCTGGCTTTTTGTAATCCATTCTTCTTTTCAGAGGGGGTCAGAGTCTGTCCCAAGAGTACCATGAGATCTCTGTAAGGCAATTCAAACATCTGGGTGAGACTCTGGAAGACTATTTATTGGGATCATCTGAGAACTTCCCCATGCTTCTCTGCATCTGCTTCACCTCTTGCGAAGAGAAGGGGAACATCTATTGGCTACCTCCCATACTCTCTCCAAACAAAGATCAAACCCACAACCTAGATATGTACCCTGTCTGGGATTCAGACCCACAAGCTTTTTGGTGTACGGGATGATGCTCCAACCCACTGAGCCCCCTGGCCAGGGCAACTCCTTATCTCTTTTAGATGAGGATACTGAGGCCCAGAGAAGACTGTGATCAGGCTGAGGTCACTTGGCAAGACTGTAGAGATGTTGAGACTGGAACTTGTGTCGCCTGACCATGCCTCGCATTTTCATGATGCTTTGAGTGTATGTACGCACTGTATTTTCACTTTATCTTACTTTTAACTGTACGTACTGTCCTTCCTCGTTGTGCATATTCCTGAAACTATGAATGTCAACTGAATTGCTCAACATCAACTCGTGTTTGACGTTGGATGTCATAGTTGAGATTTCTGAAGCCTTGTGCATTTAGGAAGTGTGGGTGAAGGTATCTGACTATCTCCCTAATACTACTGGGTTGATTTTGAGTGGTTTGGATAACACACTATGGATAACACATGTACATGTTCTGCCTGCCTGTTCCACGAGGGGGTAGATGCCCAGTGGCTGGGTTGGATCTGGGCCCAGCCTTGGGGGAGGCCTCCTTTTTCTGAAAGACCTCCTTTTGGGGGGTCTCACCAGGAGGCCCAGGGTAAGGAGGGCACGAGGGCTCCCAAGGAGAAGTGGGGGGCCTCTCCTGCTCCTCCTCCTTTCCCTGCGGCCCCTGGGTGACCATGACCAGGAGTGAAGGGTTTATTTTACGGTCCCTGCACAAATTTGGTTTCTCTCAGAGGGTGAAGGTCTGAACATAAGAAACTTCCGACCACTTCCCTTCCCTCCTGCAGAGGGAAGTGGCATTGAAACTGAGCCTCCCTCCCTGGGGCCTACTTTCCTCATCTGCCCATTTACATCGGGGCCACACCTGGTGCTGAAGAAAATCAGGCGTTTCTTCTCCTCCTCCTCCTCCTCCTCCTCCTCCTCCTCTTCCTCCTCCTCCTCCTCCTCCTCCTTCTTCTTCTTCTTCTTCAAATATATTTTATGGATTTTTTACAGAGAGGAAGGGAGGAGAGAGAGTTAGGAACAGTGATGAGAGAGAAATATCAATCAGCTGCCTCCTGCACACCCCCTACTGGGGATGTGCACACAACCAACGTACATGCCCTTGACAGGAATCGAACCTGGGACTCTTGAGTCCATAGGCCGACGCTCTATCCACTGAACCAAACCGGTTAGGGCAAGGTGTTTCTTCTTCAGTTTGGGGGGTCAAAGGAACCCCGATGGTTTAAGATGCGGCCCAAAGGGCTGTCTGCACTAGGTTTGGAAAATGTGCTTCCCATCAGCAAGAAAATCACACGGAAAGGTGTCCAGCATCCTCTGTGACCTTTCTCTTTGCGATCAGGGGTGTCCGCCTTCTAGTCAAAGAGCGTAGAGACACCACTTCCCTTCCTTGCTTCCCGGAGCGGTGGCATGTCTCTGCACATGACTGCAAAAGAGGGTCTGTCAGACTGATCATGCTTACCGATAAGACTTCGGGACACTGGGGCAGGAGCCAGGCGCCCCTTCCTCCTCTCTTTCGGGAAGCTGGGATACCCCTGTTTGCTCAAACTTGTTCGTGTGCGCCCACTAACAGAACTGACCCACTGGACTGTGCGCACTGCCAGCATGGTCCTATCTGATCAAACCCGTGTCTGCTCCCTGCAATGCCCCGGCGATATGCATATGCTTATAGGGCCCACGGCCTTTCCTGTAGATTGAGAATGAAGATGGTTCGCAAGAATGGAATTCCATGTCTTAGACAGCGTAGCTGAGGCATGACGACCTGAACTGGCACTTTACCTGGAAAACCACCTGACAGTACAGAGCCCAGGCACATTACCTCCCCCTTCCCCCTGGGGGGTCAAAATAGCCTTTTAGACTTGTATCTGCTGGGGCCTTCCCAAAAGTAGGCTGAAAACAGTGGCCTTAAAAAAACCCCCCAAAAAACAAAAAAAACAACGGAGCTCAACCAGGGCCACTAGGTGGGGAATGGCCCTCACTTTAAGATTGTGTCCCCTGTGCAGGGTCAATAGGCTAGCATGGAAATATGCCTCTCAGGGGTGTGTGTGGGGGTGTATGGTTGGGGCACAGAGTCAACTGTTCCTGGCAGGTGGAGAAATGGCAGAGGGCTTGCCAGAGATCTCGGGGTCATGGGAGTCACATGCTGGGAGTGGGAGGAAAGACATTGGTCCCCATTGCCCTGGAGCTTCATGGGCACCGGGGACACAGTGGGGGGACGGCCCGTAGAGCCATCTGAGAAGCCAGCCCCCATGGTGTACACAGGGCTGGACAGGTGGAGACGGTGGAGGTTAATTTAGGAGGGTCCGGCCCCAGGGGCCGGAGGTCCTCATTTGGGAAGGGTGGCTCACACAGAAAGAGGTTCCCGTGTGAAGCCACTGGAGCGTCCGTTCAGAGAGAGCCACAGAGGTAGCAAGAGCAGCGAGCTAGTCTCTAACCAAATATCCTATTTGGGGACACAGGCCAGGAGGGGGTCAGGTGTTGTGGGTCCAAGTATGCCGCTTACGGAGAGAGGTCCCAGAGGAAGTGACACCTCTGGTCATCTCCCCCTTCTACGTGCCTCAGTTTCTCTCCTTGGCTATCTATATAAAATGGCCATGAGGGCCCAGAGCGCTGGGTGACCAGCTCCTACGTACACAATTCCTGGACAGGTTAGTTTAATTACGACTGCATTCCCTAGGAGTCCCCTGCGCCTCTTAGGGTTCAACCTCAGACACCTTTGCAAGGTCCTTAACTCACCTAAGGGCATTGGAGAGACTCAAACCGGAGGAGGGAGGAATTTGCCTCTTTGATCTCTGGGGCTTGGGCAGGGCCCAGGCACTCAGGAAGGCCACAGTGCTCCCGGAGGGGGCATAATGTCTTCTCACTCGGTCCAATGCCGGCTCTCTGCCTCTCTGGCCCGGGGAAATGGGAGTGTGGGGAACATAGCACACAGCACCCTCTTGTACAATTCAGGGGTTCAAGAGAGCCAAGCCCGCCCACTGTCCGGCCAGGTCCATCCGGCCGGCCTTCGCCTGGCTGCTGTCAGTGCAGGCTTGGCTTGCCCTCGGCCGGGGTTCCCGTCGGGATCTGGTGACCCAGACCCGGGCGGGGGGTTGGGGGGGGGGGGAGGGCTCCCAGCAGGACCGAACGAGGCTGAGTGCGGGCTCGCGGCCCGAGCAGCGGAGCCGCCTCCCGGTCCCGGTCCCAGGAATGTGGGAGGGCCGGGCGGCGAGGCGGGGGCGCTTCCTCTGCCCGCGGAGGGGAGCCGCCGGGGCGTGCGCGGGGCGCGCTCTGCCCCCTCCCCACCCCCCGGCCGGCCGGGCGGGGCGGGGGCGGCCGCGGAGGGCGGCGAGGGGCCGCGGGGCTCGGCCGCGCCGGGCGGGCGGGCGGGCGGGCGGGAGGAAGCGATGAATATTCAGAGGGGGAGGGGAGCGGAGGGCGGGAGCGCTCGCCGAGGCTCCCTGCAGCCCGAGCCGCATGACGCGCAGAGCAGGCAGCGGGAGCCGCCGGAGCCGCCGCGGGAACCGGGGTCCGGTCGCCGCGCACGGGGGGTGGGCGCCGCTCGCTCCGCCCCGCGGATCTCCTGCGCGCCCGGGGACGCGTCCCTCCCGCGACCGCCTCGTCGGGCCCGGCCTGGAGGCTGCGGCCGCTGCCATGTCCCGGGGGAAGCCCGGGGCGGGCGGAGCGGGGACTCGGCGGACCGGCTGGAGGAGGCGGAGGCGGAGGCGGCGGCTGGAAGCGGCGATCGGCGGAGCGCCCCGGCTCGGGCGCACGGCGGGGCCCGACTCGCGCGGCCCGGGCGCGTTGCAGGGCGCGCGGGGCATGAAGCCGGCGGCGCGGGAGGCGCGGCCACCTCGGCGCTCGCCCGGGCTGCGCTGGGCGCTGCCGCCGCTGCTGCTGCTGTGTCGCCTGGGCCAGGTGAGCGGCCGGGGCCCGGGCGTGGGAGAGAGGGAGGGAGAAGCAGGACTGGCATCCCCGGCACCTGCCTGCGGTGCCCGCCTGCGGGGTTGGGGGTTCGGGGGCCCGAGTCCTGGAGCCCCCCTCCCCGGAAGGGCTCGCGGGCACCCGCCGGCCTTGCGGGCCACGGAGCCCGTTAGCCGGCTGCCTGGCACCAGAGGGCGGGCGGCGGACTCCCGGTCCCGGGGTGCGCGGAGCCTCCCCGAGGAGGACGCCCCCGCGGGCACCAGGCCGTCTCTGGCCCGCCCTTCCCGGAGCCGGTCCCGCCCGAGGCGGCTGGAGGGGGCGTGTGTGCCGAGGGCGCCGGGCGCGGAGCGGGCCAACCCGGCCTGCAGGGCCCGAGGGGCCGGGCCGAAGGGCAGCGGCGGCCGGCGGGCGGGGGCCAGATCGGGCCAGGCCGGCGGGCCGGGGACTAGGCGCGGGGCCTCCGGGTCTGAAGGCACCGCTTCCTGAGGGGACAGCTCCCACCCTGGGGCGGCCAGGGGGCCGCAGGCTGGGTCCCTCCGGCGGACAGCCCTCTGCTCGGGGAAGCCACTTGCTTGCTCCCTTGGGGGCTCCCTTCGTGCCCGGCGGGCACCGGCTCGCCCCCCATTGCCCAGCTGCGCTTTGCAGCCAGCGCTGCGCCCGCCCGGCCTCGCGGGGAGCGATCGATCGGAAAGCTCCGCTTCCCGGGGGCAGTGGGCGGCGGAGACGCCCCCCTCGCACAGGGAGCTGCAGAGAGAAGAAGTGAAAGATCAGGGCACCGGGCTCCGGCCGGCTCCGCAGTGGAAAGGCCCCTGGTGTGATACCCTCCTGAGCGTTTTGCTCATGAGAATCCTGCTTGTTTTATACAGACAGGAGCTCCCAGGGGCTGGTGTGTGAAACCTGGGGAGTGAGGGATGGACGTGGGATGGAACCTGGGTGCAGGGAAAACTTCTCCCGCACCCACACAGGATTATCTGAGAGCAGAAGCATCTGCCTTGGGCAGAGGCGCAGCCCAGCAGGCCTGCGGAGACGGAGCTCTGGGTGCTGATGTCCACTCTCAGTTGAGGCCTGGGAGGCAGGGGCACCTTCTGCAGGGAATGTGGATCAGAAGGAGCGCCAGGGCCAGGCTTCTGGGCTGGACTTGCTCTCCGTCTCCTCCAGGCCCCTGCATCCTCAGCTAACTGCGTTGTGGGATGGGGGTACCACCACCTGCCCCTGAGATTGTTTGGGTCCCTCCCTGGCCAATGTCTGAAAGAGCTTTGAAGACATCAAACCCTGTCCAGATGGGATTATCACGAAGGGAGAGTATGTGATTGTCTCCCTGTTCCTGAAAGGAAGCTCTTGGAGAGCAATCTATGAGATAAAAAAAAAAAATAAATAAAAATAAATAAAGGGCCTCATAAATGAAGATCTCATGCGCCAAGTTTATACTAAAGAAATACTCGATTTTCACTTATGTTAGTTTAATTTGGTACATGCATATTGTAGTATTAACATTGTTGCTTCAGTCGTGGTGGCTGTTAGCTATGCTTTGAAACAGCAGAAACATTTCTTGGGTAAATTTATTTCTTGCCCAATCCTTCCTTGTATTTCAGTAACATGCTGCCTGTCACTCCATACTGGTCCCCTATTCTGATAGTTCCTTCTGCTCTAACTTGTTCTGTGGAAACGCAAGAGGACTGTTTCTTATTTTTGGATCTGTTATAAAATAGGAAGTCTAAAAGGCTCTTTGAAAAAGCATCTCCAAAATCCACATTTTCCAGTTCATTTTGAAATTGGATATTTCAGGGAATTAGTGCATTTTTGAGCTGAACCCGACTTTCAAGATATTTTATTTTATTTTTTAAAAAATATTTCTTTATTAATTTCAGAGAGGAAGGGAGAGGGAGAAAGAGATAGAAACATCAACGATGAGAGAGAATCACTGATTGGCTGCCTCCTGCAGGCTCCCCCACAACCCAGGCGTATGCCCTTGGCCAGAATTGAACCTAGGACTCTTCAGTCCACAGTCCAACCAATATTCTATTCACTGAACCAAACTGGTTAGGGCCTGTATTTTATTTTTTAATCCTGGAGTGATAGGAAGGAAGAGAGAGAGAGAAAGGAAGAGAGAGAGAGAAAGAGAGAGGAGAGAGAGAGAGATCAATGTGAAAGAGAAACATCTATTGGCTACCTCCCATACTTTCTCCAAACAAAGATCAAACCCACAACCTAGATATGTACCCTGTCTGGGATTCAAACCCACAAGCTTTTTGGTGTACGGGATGACGCTCCAACCCACTGAGCCCCCTGGCCAGGGCAACCCCTTATCTCTTTTAGATGAGGATACTGAGGCCCAGAGAAGACCGGGATCAGGCTGAGGTCACTTGGCAAGACTGTAGAGATGTTGAGACTGGAACCTGTGTCGCCTGACCATGCCTTGCATTTTCATGACGCTTTGAGTGTATGTACGCGCCATATTTTCACTTTATCTTACTTTTAAGTGTACGTACTGTCCTTCCTCGTTGTGCATATTCCTGAAACTGTGAATGTCAACTGAATTGCTCAACATTAACTCGTGTTTGACGTTGGAAGTCATAGTTGAGATTTCTGAAGCCTTGTGCATTTAGGAAGTGTGGGTGAAGGTATCTGACTATCTCCCTAATACTACTGGGTTGATTTTGAGTGGTTTGGATAACACACTATGGATAACACACGTGTGGGTTTGGATAACACACTTTGGATAACACACGTGTGTGTGTGTGTGTATGTGTGTGTGTGTGTGTTAGAATGGAATGGACTATAGCAGGTTAAGAAAATGGGCAAGTTATGGAAAAGACGCAGCTCTATTGGGACATGAAGGAGGACGATGTGCAAGCTGGAAGGCTGAGATGCTGGAGGCCTCAGTGCTTAGTAGGACTGGGAAAGCAGTTTTTGACCCTGGCGTCTCATTCCCCTTCTCCTAGACAGGAAGGACGGTCGGAGATGATACCAGCATGAGGACTTTGCTGGTTGCAATGTCTGACTCCACCCATTCTCCCAGCATTTTTGCACACTAATTTTGGTTGATGTGCATGTTATAGGCGGTGTGACAAAGCAAACTTCCCCCCCGCCCCCCGCCTCCTTCTCGTCAGAAATGTGGGCCTGGCAGATTCTTTATAAGATCAGCTTGATAGTGGGCTGCTTTGAAAAAAAAAAAAAAAAAAAAAGCTGGTGACTGACAGCTGTTTTGTTGGTTTATATAGTGTTGTGGGTTTGCTTTTTCTTTGCTTTCTTGATTACTAGGGAATAATAACTGTATTTATTACCTAGTCTAGCTAATAATCCTTGAGTTTGCTTCCCTACCTGCTTCATCCACAGCATGAAAAATATTTTGACTCCTCTTGACATTGCTTGTTAAGTTCTCATATGGGTGACTTTAAGTATTTCTGTTTTGCTCCAGAACAGCAACGGAAAAACCAAATGGTTATGTTCTGTTTGCAGATAGTTTAAGAAAACAGAGCAAATTGGTTTATGGTTAGACTCTGACTTTGAGCTGACTTCAAGTTCAGGCCCATGATAAAGAGAACCGTCGAGTGCCCAAGCCTTCCTAGGCAGGAAGAATGAATCCTGGCTCCCGAGTGAGCAATTTTGGTCAGCAAAGAGGTTATTTAGCTCCTAAAAGTAATTTTTGCTTGGGGTTGAGGCCTCGGCAAGAGTTGCTGAGTGACGGTAGGCCTGGGTTTAGCCAGCACATCATCAGCAATTACTTCTTAGTTCATTCACTGCTCCGCCAAGGGAATTATTTTGAGTGCAGTGTAAGAGGCAATTTTCTGTGCATCTCCCTTCTAACATAATGCTGTTGGTGATATTGTAATTAATAGGTATCATTACGCGTGGCAGGCGCTGGGCTAAGGGCTTTGATGCATTACCTCATTTGGTCATTTCAGAAATAGTAAGAGTTGGTTGTTGTCAGGTTCCCATTTTATTTGAGAAAACAGGTTCAGAAGTTACCGAAGACTCCTAATAGGTGTCAAAGCCCAGCCCCATTCTCCATGGCCCCAGGTTACTGGTCCCATGCTGGGAGAAATCACGTGTTGAAGAGGTCTTAAACCGAGAGGCGTGCTCCCAGGAGAGGAGACTTCCGTGGGGAAGGGCAGAGCTTGTGGGGCCTGTACCCTGAAAGGGCTGGGGGTCATTTTGGGTTTTCTGCATTCTAAGCCCTGGAGCGTCTGCTCCCTTTGGAACACCGACAACCCAGGGACCCTCTTTCTTGCTCATGGTCCTTTGAGAGCCTGAGTCTGTGAGGCGAGTGGAGACAGAATGGGGACTGGCATGGGAATACCTGGGTTCAAGTCTGTGCTCTGCCACGTCGTCGTAGCTGCCTAAACTTGGGCGAGTCACTTAACCTCTGCGACTCTTCCTTTCCTTATCTGGAAATGGGACTGCCACTTCCTGCTCCCCTGGGCGGTTGCGAGGATCAAAGAAGATAGAAGAGGAACTGCCACGTAAAATCTCAGGCACCCTGCGATTGCTGGTTGTGGCTGCTGCTGTTGTTTGGGGGAGAAGTGGGCCTTCAGAGCATTCGTTTATTGAAGAAATACTTACCACGCATTTTCACAGCGTGTTCCCTGGTGGGGGGGGGGGGGCTGTGCAAGATCAACTTAGCTCAGTCCCAAAACATCCTTTTAAATGTTAAGGATTATTTATTTATTTTTTTTGGGTGGGGAGTATTAGTATAAAAATTGTAAGTTGCCGGTCGAGCCCGAGATTTTATAGGCAGAGTGAAGTTATCTGTAGCGTCACAGTAAATACGTTTATTTAGATAGAATAAAAAGGTGAACTACGGAGAAATATTGTGGAATAATTATATAAAAGGATGGTGTGATTCTGGCAAACTGTACAGGTGATACATTGCTGAAGTTTGGAAAAAATATGGGCACCGAGTGGAAGCCATGCGCTGAGCAAGAACAGCAGCCCGAAACCGGTTTGGCTCAGTGGATAGAGCGTCAGCCTGCAGACTGAAACGTCCTGGGTTC